TGAACCAATGTTATCATCAGTAGTCATATAATTCCATGCTTCGTCATTCAGCAACATGACAGAAAATCCAAAGAGGTCCTTGCAAAACCACGCACTTTGTCGTCTTCTGTATAACCAGGACATTCTCGCTAGCAAGAGAGTGAAACGAAGGGAAGTAACTCTGACAGAACCGAGGTTGCCGGAAGTATTACATTGATTTTGATTGGACGGCATATGACAAGAGTAAGGATGCGCCTCAGATACAAAAAACCCAACTTAGTGAATTCATCACAGGAAATCTACTAACTCTTAAACGTCAAGAATGATGAAGACAGGAAGCAAGAATGAAATCAAGAAACAAAAATCGATGATATTCAAATGTAGTTTTTTTGTCCTACTGTCCGCTTGACTTCGCTTCCAGCCGAGGCAGGTAACGGAGTTTATACTATGCTTTTCCGTTTTTGGTCAAAATGCCTGCCGAACCACACATGAAAATCATACCGGTAAGTTTTCGAATATTCATTGTCAAGCTGTTGTCATTTTTGAACCAGAAATATTTGAAACTGCTTAAACAAATGTGATTTGCATTTATGATGGGCTAATATTGTATACAAGTAATATGTCACGAAGATGGATCACATTTTAAGGAGATTACTAATATGGTCTTGGTAATACATAAGTTAGCGGAGCTGAAAGTTTGGCGCAAGCGAGACATCACTACAATGTTTTCTCTGAAAACGTGATCTCAGATCATATTTGGTGTAGCTAGCCTCGGTTCCAGTCGAAAGAAATGTGATTAAATCAATTAAGAGGACTTTCCTCTTGGGACAGAGGATTTTTTATGAAACCGTCTTCTACAGAGTAAACATGGCGGGGAAACTGACACTATGGTTTAATCGACCGTCTGCACTTATCACTGCAAATCATTTGATAATTTGGAACCTGCTACATTTATAGTGATGATATACAGAACATTTTATTTCAGGGCTTAATTCTGTTCGATTCTACATTATCGATACATTTCTGCGTCAATGGACACGAGCTGGCTTGGGAAGAAACCGATAAGATAAATCCCGGTAGATATTCTAGATGTGCAACACCACTTTGTCAAGTCCAGTCATGAATTCTTATCATTTGTTCCCTTCTACTGCGTCAATCCCCTCAATACCTTAGATGATATGTAAACATACAGTCGAATCAATCCACAATTTATCTAAGATATGTTTTACTTTTACAAACCCTTGTAGACCCAACCACCATAGCTACCATGAGAAACATCCATTAATGTCGATCTGAGAGATGGCGGCACTAGCTCAATTATCTTGGTGTATAGTAGTAAATTGGTCCTGTCATAGAAAAGCTTCGTTCAGCGATTTGATAAGTTTTACAGTGGTTCTTTTAAAACGGATTTCACACATGTCGATAGAGTACATTTATTGCCAAGTTGTAGGTTTAATATCGGCAAATCATTTTTGTTGATGGTCGTGTATTCAAGACATTGTTAATTAATCATAACGGTGTTAAAAAAACCCTAAATGTGTTTGGGGAAGGGTTTTGGTTTTATTGCGTCATCAGTTACTGTAGTTGTGACGTCACCAATTTGGTGATCTAACCAAAGTAAGCTACTCGGTGACATCTTTATAAATTAAATGGTACACCTATGTTTCATCTTTGCATGAACAATTATTTAAATCCATAGTGAGCATGAAAATGGTGAAACACTCATTTGCGGGCGTAACAAAACTACTTAACATCACAATATATCTCAATCTAAATCGACAGTACTTAAAGTAAATAACAAGAAAATACCAACATAATCCAAACTCAAATTCAATAAAACTAGGGCAAAATAGGAACAAAAGAAAGATTTACACAGAGACGCCCGAAAAAGTACAAGGCGAATAAGATCAAGTGTTCCGGAACAGTAAGCGTCTTCTGCTTCATCGACGACACCCGCCATTTAAACCTTGCTCAATCCAAGGTATAAAACAACGGATCCGACAAGCAAACTTACGAACATCAAACACGTCCAGCTTTATATCACTCAAAGAAATATGATATTTCTCAATGAGATCACTATTGGTTACGAGTTTGTCTGTCAGTTGACATAACATTTATAAGATAGCATTCGATCAGATCATGCTCTCAGTGGTAGACCTGTCTGTTTGTTGAAATTGGAATTTGTATACATTCTCCCCAACTCGAAAGCTTTTACTTTAACAGACATAACAGGATGGGTGAGGGAAAAGCTGATAGACATCTCTATCATTTCTGGCATAGGAAATAACTGCATAGATCTATGCTAACTTGTCATTTTATCATTTAAGTACATTAATTATTGTGATTTCCAATAGAGCGGGAAGATTATGTAAGTTCCTAGCTTGCTTTCCATTCCTCGCTGTCTTTGAAGTGACAATAAAGGATGGAAACATTTCCTGCTGAACCTGGTACATTGTTTAGTATTTCCAGCCCAATGGTCTGTATAAGGTGCACATGTACTGCTGTTACTGTATATGGACCGTGCGGTTGGGAAACGATACAAATATGTGACTTCATGTTTTCGTCTTCATCCTCGGCAATTCCACTTTCAAAAAGCAATTGAAAATTATGTATGACTTTGCAACTTTGACATTTTGAAAATAACTTTTCTTATTTATGGTGATAGGGTAGCACAACGATAATGGCCTTCTGACGGATCGGGCATGAGCGTGGGTCAGATAAAGCACTACTTTCTAAGAAAACCATCCATTCTCACTTTCGATTTTATTACAATTATTGAAACGGTTTATCTACTGTACACTGAGGAATTGCTGTTAAATTTTTCTACTATATTAACTTTTTCATCGACTCACTCTATTTTAATCGACTTTCTCGAACTTCTCGTCCAGTAATCGATAGTATGTCTTCGCTGTAGTGCAGTGTCTTACTTTCTCGCGTTGATCGATCGCTAGTTGATAGAATAGACCAGATACCCTGGTTAGGACCCATGTTTTTGTCTTGTTAATAATTCATGTGTCGTTTACCGCTAAACATTACCGTCGGTTTGTCGTTATTACTGACTGGTATTAAGATCCGCGTAATCATTAGTTTAGGTACGCGAAATCACGCGATAGACAGTCACGTGAGCAGGTGTTGCAGAAACTGGAATGTAAATGGCATTGCTCAGTAAACATCTAATTAGACTTCGGAATTTATATTATCTTAATTCTAAAAGGGATTAAAATGGCCGAATCAAGTTGTATTGCAACTGGTAAATATTTGCTAATATTAACTACCATGATAGTCATAAAAGTAATTTCAATTTTGACTGTAATCGTAATATTTTCTAGCTTAATGACTGTTGTATCTATTGTAGTCACAGTTGCTTCAATTCCATTCATAATATTGCATTTACTGTTTTCATAGTTGTTCCTATAGTATTCACGATTTTTTCTATTGGTTTTATAAAAGTTTCAATTGTTTAAACTGAAAATGTTCTATCAGGTTTTCACAGTTGAATTGGTTCTTGTTACGATTGTTTCTATTGTTTTCACGATTGTTTATATTGTTTTAACAGATGTTTCTATTGTTTTCACGAGTGTTTCTATTGTTTTCACGATTGTTTCTATTGTTTTCACGATTGTTTCTATTGTTTTCACGATTGTTTCTGTTGTTTTCACGATTGTTTCTGTTGTTTTCACGATTGTTTCTATTGTTTTCACGATTGTTTATAATGATTTTACGATTGTTTAAATTGTTTTAACAGATGTTTCTATTGTTTTCACGATTGGTCCTATTGTTTCTGTTGTTTACACGATTGTTTCTATTGTTTTCACGATTGTTTCTATTGTTTTCACGATTGTTTCTGTTGTTTTCACGATTGTTTCTATTGTATTCACGATTGTTTATAATGATTTTACGATTGTTTGTATTGTTTTAACAGATGTTTCTATTGTTTTCACGATTGGTCCTATTGTTTCTGTTGTTTACACGATTGTTTCTGTTGTTTACACGATTGTTTCTGTTGTTTACACAATTGTTTGTTGTTTTCACGATTGTTTCTGTTGTTTTCACGATTGTTTATAATGATTTTACGATTGTTTATATTGTTTTAACAGATGTTTCTATTGTTTTCACGATTTCTTATATTGTTAAAAAGGCGAGATGGCCATTACATAAAAGCAATGGGCATTCTTTTTATCGTGTACTGACATCAAATAAATCTTTTCCATATTTTGATACTTCAACAACTATTTGTATCAAACATCTTAAAAAATAAAGTTTTTAAAATTTTTATTGATTCAATTATTTAATATATTAAATTGATTTATTTATCTATGCTTTCCCTTTTAAATGTTACTGCATGGTTGAATACGATGAGAGAAAACTTTGCATATCGTTAATTAATCTCTGTAAAAAATGTAATAAAACTGAACAGAAATGTAAACCCATATCCCTCAGCTGGCTGGTGGCCAAACACTGTATAATCCATGTTTAGTTGGTAAACCAAAAGTCTGATAAACACCTAGAATTCTTCAAATGAACTGGTGATTTTATGATAAATGGGTATGACGGCATTGGCATTGATATTTGTTCCTTGTGCAATTGTTCTTAACTTTGTTTTTATCCAGTACATATGACATATCTAACTGTCCCTTTAAACCAAGGCTATATTCCCAATACGTCACCCTGTTGACAGTCTACTAATTATTTACTTAACTTATTAATATTAAAATGTATATCAAAAGGATGGTTTCTTTACCTCTTAGACTTCATGTTGAATTCTACGAATTGTATCTAACACATCTTCACTAAGGGAAAGCGACATCTATATGATGTATCTATAGAAGCAATTACAATCTATGGGTGCTACTGTGTGTAAGACGGGTATAATAACTCACCGTCTTAGTGGTTAATATAAAGACGTGTAGCTACAAGTGACTGGTGCTAGACAACGTTTCCTGTCTATTTAGACGTGATGTTTTATTTTAGTATTCAGGGTGTTACTAGACTGGCTGATGATTCTGATGAGATATACTTACAACTGAACAACTCTCCAACTCGATGATGGCAAATCCGCAGATGGAATTTCGGTTAAGGAACTAATATTTGCATTGGTGCAGTCCACCACACAGTTTGTGGAGGTCGAGTCCACACTGTAACATTTACACATAGACGGACAGGGGGAGGGGGATGCACCCACCCCCTGCCCCCAGCACAGAAACAGCAGTAATCCAAACGACAGACAACACATTCGCGGCTGACGTAAAGCTCTGGGGAAACCATGATGGCTTATAGTTCTTGATTTGTCAACTTTCAGCATACTACGGCGACCGGGCAGGCTTTGGTGTATTGCCATTAAGGCCCAGGCAGTGCCCCTCAATCCGCATAGCGTTATATCCTTACACCGTGAAGGATTTCGGTACAGGGCTCGCCCCAACGTAACAATATCCGGTACTAGTTCAACCTGTAAAATAGAAAAATGAATAGAAATCGATCATATATACTGTATATATATAACGGTAATATCTGTCAACGAGACCGACGGTATGTACTAAGCTAGATATTTACCCTACCTGTATATGTACCCGTATCGGTCAGGTAACGAGGTTAGGTAACCTTCATTAGGACACTGTGGGTTTACAAATACAACCATTAACCTACCTTTCTCCATTCCCGGGTTTATCATGCCTGCCATTCACATAATGTGTCGCGTTCGTCATGTATACTGTGACCACCATTACTGTAATGCTAGATTGTCAATCGACTGTGTCGTCACGTGACCAGGTACATGTCTTTGTTGCTGTTCAATCGTGTACATTACGACCTTGTCCCCTAGTTGTAGCATGGCAACCTATGACGCTATAAGGCGGTTAAGGCTTTCAGGTGGGTTTCGCTTTCCCCTTGGTTGGAGTAACTTACTTACCAGGCCAATATTTGACTGTACGTGACCTCGCCTAGCTGATCTTTCTTCGTATTAACGATAGCCGAAGATTTAATTTTAAATAAAATAATTTCAATTCCATGTTAAGATGGTTAATATAATACCCGCTTTGATCTGGATTTAACTAGCGTATGTGCCAAGTACAGACATTAGCTGTTTTTTTTTATTATGTAATTTATTTTATTCAAACACATCTATCAACAATGACTAATTGTCGCCTTCAAATACCTGTGCTGTTATCATGAGTCGGCTACAACACAATTTGTAACGAGGCCTGTTATTTTTTGTTCTGTTTTGCAATTGTAATTTTTTTAAATGTATACTCGTCACAGTATATAAATACGATGTAATTAACTTATAGGTCTCTTTAAATTGACGTTTTTTGTTTATGTGATATTTTTTTAAATCCCGTTAACTCATCAGAGTTTGTATCCCTTCAGTATCTAGTACTGGTGCCTAGTTGTTCGTTGTGTCCCGAGATCTGGGACGATACGGGCCTACTGTAACCTGTCTTATCACTCAACACAGGGCACATCGGCCGCCACGGCCCAGCGCCACTGCATACACCGTGTCAAGCTGATGCACTCGTGGTCCACAATGGTCACAACGAGGCCTAAATTTATACATTGTTTTCCGGTTTCGTCCGTGAAATACAATAATATCCTGGAGTTCACCAGACTAACCGTGTATATGTATAGACCAGAAACAGGACCTCGGATTACCAAGTATCTTGCCTATCATTTACAAATTCTCAATGCGATTGTTGGCGAGACACAACATTCGGAAACAAGAGAATTGATGAAATGTTGAACAGGACAATATTCATCGAAAAAAAAATCTGTAGAATCAGAATCCGTATCGACATAAAACTAAAATGCTTGAACTTCACGTTGGTAATCACTTATCATAATAATAATATTGATAGGAACACTACTATGTTGTCAATGTGATAATACCAAGAACAAGGACGGAACACTTGTAAATTGATAGAACATATAGAACATATAGAAGGAACACTAGCAATGTCAACATAATCACTCATGATGTCGGTAGGATATTTAACGATGAAGGGAGGAACATTAGCCATTTTGACATAAACATTAGCAATGTCGGTAGGATATTTAACAATGATGGGAGGGAACACTAGCCATGTTGACATAAACACTAGCAATGTCTGTAGGATATTTAACGATGAAGGGAGGAACACCATTAGCCATAGGGAGGGAACATGTTGACATAAACACTAGCAATGGATATTTAACGATGATGAGAGGAACACTAGCCATGTTGACATAAACACTAGCAATGTCGGTAGGATATTTAACAATGATGGGAGGGAACACTAGCCATGTTGACATAAACACTAGCAATGTCGGTAGGATATTTAACAATGATGGGAGGGAACACTAGCCATGTTGACATAAACACTAGCAATGTCGGTAGGATATTTAACGATGAAGGGAGGAACATTAGCCATTTTGACATAAACACTAGCAATGTCGGTAGGATATTTAACAATGATGGGAGGGAACACTAGCCATGTTGACATAAACACTAGCAATGTCGGTAGGATATTTAACGATGATGGGAGGAACACTAGCCATGTTGACATAAACACTAGCAATGTCGGTAGGATATTTAACAATGATGGGAGGGAACACTAGCCATGTTGACATAAACACTAGCAATGTCGGTATGATATTTAACAATGATGGGAGGGAACACTAGCCATGTTGACATAAACACTAGCAATGTCGGTAGGATATTTAACAATGATGGGAGGGAACACTAGCCATGTTGACATAAACACTAGCAATGTCGGTAGGATATTTAACAATGATGGGAGGGAACACTAGCCATGTTGACATAAACACTAGCAATGTCGGTATGATATTTAACAATGAAGGGAGGGAACACTAGCCATGTTGACATAAACACTAGCAATGTCGGTATGATATTTAACAATGAAGGGAGGGAACACTAGCCATGTTGACATAAACACTATTGACATAAACACTAGCAATGTCGGTAGGATATTTAACAATGATGGGAGGGAACACTAGCCATGTTGACATAAACACTAGCAATGTCGGTAGGATATTTAACAATGATGGGAGGGAACACTAGCCATGTTGACATAAACATTAGCAATGTCGTTAGGATATTTAACGATGATAGAAGGAACACTAACCATGTTAACATAAACATTGGTGATGTCGTTAGGATATTTAACAATGAAGGAAGGAACACTAGCCATGTTGACATAAACACTGGTGATGTCGTTAGGATATTTAACAATGAAGGGAGGAACACTAGCCATGTTGACATAAACATTAGCAATGTCGGTAGGATATTTAACAATGATAGAAGGAACAACAATGATGGGAGGGACACAAGCAATGTTGACACAAACACTGGTGATGTCGGTAGGATATTTAACAATGAAGGGAGGAACACTAGCCATGTTGACATTTAACGGTAGGATATTTAACAATGATGCCATGTTGACATAAACATTAGCAATGGGTAATATTTAACACTAGCCATGTTGATATAAACACTAGCAATGTCGGTAGGATATTTAACAATGATAGCCATGTTGACATAAACATTAGCAATGTCGTTAAGATATTTAACGATGATAGAAGGAACACTAACCATGTTAACATAAACATTGGTGATGTCGTTAGGATATTTAACAATGAAGGGAGGAACACTAGCCATGTTGACATAAACATTAGCAATGTCGGTAGGATATTTAACGATGATGGGAGGAACACTAGCCATTTTGACGTAAACTTTAGTGATGTCGTTAGGATATTTAACAATGATGGGAGGGACACTAGCAATGTTGATATAACCACTTTTGCGTCAGAATATATCTAACAATGACGGAAGGATCATTATATAAGTTAATCATGTTGAAGGTATACCCAAAGAACATTCTGTGATGTTAAATGAAAATCAGCAATCTGAATTCGAACACTGACAAGATTTACAGGAACTTTGATTATTTGACTGGTGATGGTAGGGAAAATACCAGCACAGGAGAACAGTATAAAACGCACGTCTTGAACTTAGGTTGTCACTATTAGGGTGTAATGGGAAATACTATTATATAGCTATGGTTAAAGAGTAGCATCCATGTGATAGACGTATAAACAAACTAGTATAATTCAGGTCACCAGATCACCGAAATTGCTCAGCAGAAACTAACTTAATCGGGCGAAGTCAACGTGCGTATATTACACGCGTTCGAGCGCAGCCAATGTTGTAAAGCACTTATTCCTTTCAGCTTTACAGTTGACCAGGCAGAAACAAAAGAAGTGTGACTTTTCGTGCCAGACAGATCAGAAATAGAACACACCAATTCATCCCTCTCATGGCAATATCATAATATTTTTGTCGCCTCGATATCAGGAATGATAACCTTACTAAGCTCATTCATTAGAATAACTCAGCGTTTATATATAAAATTCATGATCTTCATAAGACAGACCGTGACGCTTGTAAGGCAATGCTATGTAATGTGAGACAATGCAGTGTGATGTAAGGCAATGCAGTGTGATGTAAGGCAATGCAGTGTGATGTGAGACAATGCAGTGTAAGTAAGGCAATGCAGTGTAATGTAAGGCAATGCAGTGTAATGTGAGACAATGTAGTGCAATGTGAGACAATGCAGTGTGATGTGAGACAATGCAGTGTAATGTGAGACAATGCAGTGTAATGTGAGACAATGCAGTGTAATGTGAGACAATGCAGTGTAATGTGAGACAATGCAGTGTAATGTGAGACAATGCAGTGTAATGTAAGGCAATGCAGTGTGATGTGAGACAATGTAGTGTAATGTAAGGCAATGCAGTGTAGTGTAAGGCAATGCAGTGTAACGTTAGGCAATGCAGTGTGATGTGAGACATTGCAGTGTGATGTGAGACAATGCAATGTAATGTGAGACAATGCAGTGTGATGTGAGACAATGCAGTGTAATGTAAGGCAATGCAGTGTAATGTGAGACAATGCAGTGTAACGTTAGGCAATGCAGTGTGATGTGAGACAATGCAGTGTGATGTGAGACAATGCAGTGTAATGTAATGCTATTCAATTTAATGTCAGGCAAATTATTGTAAAGCTACAATAAGGACACCGAGACCACCGAGAATGACTATATCAAGTAACGATGTGTATGCGCTCTGCAAAATTTGCTAATGCCTTGTATACATTCATTCCGTGCAGTGTTTCAACCGGAAAACGTATTTGATGCATTTCATTGAATATCTGCAAGAATGAGAGAAAAACAGTTGTGAGCCTCATACCTAAGGATTTTACTTTTAGCGGACATATTGCATTATTTTTCAACATCATCCACTTCAGTATCTATACACTTTTGCCAGGGATGTTTCAGGGCCTCAATGCGACTTTTAAAGAAGTCCTTTTCTTGACCTTTCAGAAAGTCCTCCACTGCATTCATGACGTGATCATCTGACCTAAAGTAGGTACCGGAAATAGCCCTTTTCAATTTTGGAAATAGACAAAAGTGTAATGGAGCGAGATCAGGCGAAAAAGGCGGATGTTCAATCAATTCAAAGTCAAAATGGCTGTCATGGTAGAACAACGCACCTTTATTGAGTTTTCCGCGACGCTTGAGTTCAATATTTTCTCTTAGATGCATAAGAAGTGATGCACAATGTGTGGCATTGATTGCTTGTCCCTTTTGCAGATAATCAGCTTCTCGGAAAGCCGAGGTCATAACCTTTCCAGCTGATGGACCAGGCCTTCCTTTCTTTGGCGCGGTTAAACCAGTGTGTTGCCATCGTTTATACCGTTGTTTGGCCTCTGGGGTGAAATAATGGACTCATGTTTCATCCATAGTCACAAACTTCTGTAGAAAGTTAGCAGGATCTGCCTCTAAAAGGTGACAAAGTCCGGCTGGTGTGCTTCTGATCTGTCAAAAGTCTTGGTACCCAAAGGGCTGGGATCTTTCTCATTGCGAGATCTTCCGTAAGAATGGAATGTACTCCTTCCTGTGAAATTCTAAGTGCGCTGTCTATGTATCTCTCTGTTACTCGTACGGCATCCATTACAATATCATGGACTTTACTGACCATTTCTAAGGTTGCAACAGTGACAGGCCTTCCAGGACGGGCGTCATTTCCAAGGCTCTGTCTGCCACGCTTACATTCCGTCATCTACCTTTTCGCTGTAGCATATGAAGGGGCATCATTCCTCAGTGTTTCTCCATATTAGTATTGGCCTTTCTTATGCAAATATTGAATCCCTGTTCTTTCAGCGATTTTGTCCATTTTGCAAAAGCCATCTGCCTTGTTTGCTTTAGAGTGTTTCCTCTTCGACATAAACTGACCAATTGACACTATCCTTCGGGTACACTGCCTTAAATAGTCAGGGAATAGTGGAGCTCAAAAGGACATCACTGCTTAACATCTTCAATACAAGGCTCACAACTTTTCAATCAGCCCTCATATATTCCCCTTCTTTCTGATCATTGAACCCCTTGTGTTTAGGTTTGTGTTGTATCTGTATCAACCATCCATGTGAACGTCAAAGTTTGAAGGCATATTGCTGAACCCGTTTTACTGTTCCTAGTCGTAGTGCATAAAACATTCGATGAACCAAACTATCCAAAAGGAGAATGGCGGTTATCAAATATTAATGTTAAAAAATTGTCAGCATTATCGAAGACACAGGTAGATTGGTCGCGGAGTATGCTGTAAATTGTGTTCGTGGTTGGCGGCGTTTTAGATCAGAGCTCAGCCTCATCAAATATACATATGTGTGGGTGTGTATGTACAATATCTATGTAGGGAGAAAGTACGTGCTTATATGTTTGTATATACATTCACATCATATGAAGGATTTATCTACATTCATGTAGATATGTCTAACGATCTATTTACTTGTGTGTCACTGTGGATATGACGGGGGGAGAGAGAGAGAGAGAGAGAGAGAGAGAGAGAGAGAGAGAGAGAGAGAGAGAGAGAGAGTGTGTTTCGGGTAATGCAAACTTACAGCAGAACAGAATTTATAGGTTACCAAAAGGTCCTTGATAGTAACGACGCGGGCCCTGTTAGTTATGATATGGACCATGTAAAGGTTGTTACGGGCCCTGTTATTAATGGTGTTGACGATGTTAGTAATGGTACGGGCCCTGCTTGCAACTGAACTGACCCATTTGTTAACAGAATGGGCCCAGTTAGTGATGGCACGGACCTTGTAAGTAATGGTACGGCCCTGTTAGTAATGTTACGGCCCTGATAGCAATGGCACGGGCCCTGTCATATGGCACTACTCCTTTATGTAATGTTTCGGGCACTGCAGTGACCCTGACAGTAAAGATATGGGCACTGTTCGTAAAAGTATGAGCTCTTATGATAATCATATGAGCCTTGTTTTAGTGTTAGTAATGTACGGGCCCTGTTAATTACGATTAGGACTGTTATTAATTGTACGGGTCATGTTTGTACAGGCGAGGTATCTCTTATTTAATGTAATGTATCGTTCACCATGGTGCGGGGTCTCTTAGTCAATGTAGGATATCGTTCACCATAGTGCGGGGTCTCTTAGTCAATGTAATGTATCGTTCACCATGGGGCGGGGTCTCTTAGTCAATGTAATGTATCGTTCACCATGGTGCGGGGTCTCTTAGTCAGTGTAAGGTATCGTTCACCATGGTGCGGGGTCTCTTAATCAATGTAATGTATCGTTCACCATAGTGCGGGGTCTCTTAGTCAGTGTAAGGTATCGTTCACCATGGTGCGGTATCTCTTAGTCAATGTAGGATATCGTTCACCATGGTGCGGTATCTCTTAGTCAATGTAATGTATCGTTCACCATGGTGCGGTATCTCTTAGTCAGTGTAAGGTATCGTTCACCATGGTGCGGTATCTCTTAGTCAGTGTAAGGTATCGTTCACCATGGTGCGGGGTCTCTTAGTCAATGTAATGTATCGTTCACCATGGTGCGGTATCTCTTAGTCAATGTAAGGTATCGTTCACCATGGTGCGGTATCTCTTAGTCAGTGTAAGGTATCGTTCACCATGGTGCGGTATCTCTTAGTCAGTGTAAGGTATCGTTCACCATGGTGCGGGGTCTCTTAGTCAGTGTAAGGTATCGTTCACCATGGTGCGGGGTCTCTTAGTCAGTGTAAGGTATCGTTCACCATAGTGCGGTATCTCTTAGTCAATGTAATGAATCGTTCATCATTGTGCGGTATCTCTAAATCAATAAATGAATTCCGTTAATTTTGCTTGTTTCAAAACACATCTTCAGGTTTGCAAACGCAACCTAATATGTCCACAGGTACGACTTGGTGAATAAAAAGTGTGTCTTCTTATGAATATAAATTACACTTGTGGACAAGAAATTACGTTATGTATTTATCGATTACAGGCATGCTGGGATACATATTCCAATATAGGGATGGTGATGATTATTCTATCTTAAGTCGAGATTTAAGAAAATAATAGCACTCCTGTTTTTTCATATGGTATAAAAACAGGTATGCATTCTTTTCTTATCTTACTTATAAGAAATTCTATTTCTTTTATGATATTATAAAAAGAAAATGGGTACTAATGAAGCAGATTTGTTTGAAAATATTATTTTGATATGAAGACCTCATTTGATACACATGTTTTAGTATGAATGGTTTAGAGATACAGTCTTAGTGTATACATAATAAAAACGCAAATACACATAAATACACTAAAGTATCATACATCTGCACAGGAATTTTCCTATTAAGACACTCCCGTTTATCATTGTAGTGTAGGCTTAATGGATTTTAAGTGAAAAGTCACAACTTGGTACATATGCATTCGACAAAAAATACTAATCTTTGTGGAAAGTACATATTTATATGATGTACATAGAAAGCCGTACATATAATGATAACCTTGGATATTGTATACTTATGTAAATACCTACAGAAATACATAGTCATTGAACATAAACGATTGTGCTGAAATAAGTTATTTACTTGCTGTAAAAGTTGTTATTTCAAATGGAACTAGTTTACGCTGTTTTCGAATAGTAAACGATGAATAATAATCGGGAAAAATAGATACTCGACTGAAAACAAATAAAAAAACAACAGCCATTTCAAAGCCTCCGCATGAAATGCATCCTCTTTTTTTTTTCTCGACTAGCTACTTCGTAAAACCGCAAAAATAACCTTTCTTTTGTTCATACTTGGCCCTAGTTGCATTGGAGTTTTACGCACATCCTGTTGACAAGGTGGTGTTGTTGTTTTTTCAGTATTCGTACAATATTTATGAAGCTTGCAATTGTCCAGTTCACACATCACACATGAATAGAATTATGAATATAGCTTTAGTTTTACGGTTGTACCATGCTTAACGCACTTCAATATAGTACCTACATTAAATATCCAATTCTCGTATGGTATCTATTGGCTAACGGAATATACGTATCGTTGTTGTTTCCAATATTTTAACATATATGTGAAACCAAAGTTCTTGTCTATGTTTTATATCGGAAACTGGTGCTAACAACTGTCAGAATCAACACACAGAGTGGCCAGGATTATGTAAAATTATTTGAGTGTACCATAATTTTTACAAACACGGTATAGCATGTTGTCGTTATCAATAATCACTGAGATAATTAAAGGACAAATTATATTGTTTTGTCCAAGTATTAATAAGCGATAAAGGAAAGCGTTTAAAATGTCTTTATAACAAGAAGAGCTCCGTGATGTTTCAAACCTTGTAAAATTCATAGAAAGGGAACACATTTCCGAAGTATCCAATTAAACACTTACTTCCGGTGTTTCGTTGGTGATTTTTCGGACACAAATCCACGGAGAGTTCACTCTTCCAAATATACATTAATGTGTGTTCTCCATGATATCCAGTGAAATACGGACTTCATAGAATATCCACTGAAATATCTACTGCTCTGGTATCCATTAAGACACGGACTTCCGGAATATTCATTAAAATGGTTTACTTTCTGAATATCCATCTAAGTGTTTACTTAAAGGTTATCCATTGAAGTACCTACTTCCGAGGTATCCTTTCAAAAACGGATTTCCGAGACATCCTATTTTAAAGTTGTATACATCCGGGATTACCCATTAAAACGGTATACTTCCGGGATATTCATTAAAGCGCGGTTTTTTCGTCGTTGTCCATAAAGTAACATACATACAAAATATCCTTCATTAATCTGAATCATATCCACCGCGGCAGCGGCTATACCAATCCAAATAATTCTCACAATATGTCGCCAAGTCATTTGTATTTGATAAATTTAATGTTTAATTGTGCAGTATAAAAATTGTATGTTCTTTCACATTTCATTTGATGTAATATTCAGTCGATATCATATTATTGTAGACGTTTTACAATCATCTTCTTGGAAAAATAAAGATAAATATCTTAAAAAATCAAGTGGCTCGAAGAGACAGACTGTCCACGTCCCGCAGATATAATCCTTAGTTATGTACATCTGACCGTCGTTATGAAAGCTACTTGTTATCAGTATTATGTACCCGTGATATTATTATGTACACGTGATCAATATTATGTACCCGTGATAAGTATTATGTACCCGTGATATTATTATATACCCGTGATAAGTATTATGTACCCATGATATTATTATGTACCCGTGAACAGTATTATGTACCCGTGATATTATTATGTACCCGTGAACAGTATTATGTACCCGTGAACAGTATTATGTACCCGTGATAAGTATTATGTACCCGTGAACAGTATTATGTACCCGTGAACAGTATTATGTACCAGTGATAAGTATTATGTACCCGTGATAAGTATTATGTACCCGTGATATTATTATGTACCCGTGATATTATTATGTACCCGTGATATTATTATGTACCCGTGATAAGTATTATGTACCCGTGATAAGTATTATGTACCCGTGAACAGTATTATGTACCCGTGATAAGTATTATGTACCCGTGATAAGTATTATGTACCCGTGATAAGTATTATGTACCCGTGATATTATTATGTACCCGTGATATTATTATGTACCCGTGATAAGTATTAAGTACCCGTGAACAGTATTATGTACCCGTGAACAGTATTATGTACCCGTGATAAGTATTATGTACCCGTGATAAGTATTATGTACCCGTGAACAGTATTATGTACCCGTGATAAGTATTATGTACCCGTGA